ACATCATTCAGACGATTAAAGAATAGAAGTAAAAGCAATCACACATTGAAAGGGTTGGAGCATTCGAGGAGTGTTATCTAATCTACTTGCTACTCTTCTACAAATATCAAGCATAAACCTGAGGTCAAGTTGCTGTTGGACGGGGAGTCGTAAAGCCAGAGGATTGTCAGCAATTGGTGTTTGGTAGAACGATAAGGTGTGAGCCAGAGTCAAAGTTTAGTATACTTTGTTTTAAGTATAGTGGATTGGTTTACTTTGGACTGCACAGTCCACGAGGTTTTCCCATAACAGTTGACGTATTTTATCAACTAGGGTTTCCTCGCTAAAATCCTAGTGTCATCTCTAACTTTATCATTTGCTTTATTTTATCTGCATGTGATTAACTGTTTAATTGCTGAAATATAAAATAAGTAAAGTTGATAATGACACAGATCTATTTTACAAAACAAACAAAAATTTTCTAATTATTTTCTGCAACGTACGACTTACAAGAATGCTATATTTATAGAGGTAAGATACATGCCAGTCACGAGAGAGTTATCGCACCTATTAACTAGGTCGCGTATCACCCCTCCTACCCTGCACTGGACCTTAGAATAGTCCTGATGTTTATTCACAATTTGCCGCAGTTCACATCCTTGAACACCATCATTGAGAACTATTCTTAATATTTGCACACGAATTTTGTTGCGATTCTCAATTGCTCAAGTGAGACCATAACGTTAGTTTACTCCTTATGATATATTCATAAATAAATTATATATTTGTTTTGCAAAGTTATATTTAAGTATTTCCCACGCCATGATTGTATACTGTAATAAGAACTTTCTTTTACATTCCTTGATTTTTCACAACCCGAACTATGCCAAAAGTATATTATCCTTCACTACGAACACCGTGATAATACTCTCATGTGTTCATGCCCCCATGTTAAACAAATGGTCATGCCCGCTCTAGTGATGCATGCATATGAACAAGCATGTGTGTGCATAAGTACTATGTGTGTATCAGTGACTTTATCTTCACAAGTACTCTTGGGTATTAATACCAGAATGTTATCATCTGGTGGCCTCTTTGCGTATTACTACTAATTGACCAATGTTAGCGTGCATTGGACAAGTGAATGGAAGCACTCACGCATAGATTATAGGTGCGGGTATAGGCCCATGCCCATATGATTCCTGATAATATATGTAGAAAGCAAAGAAGCAAAACTTGAGATCTTTTATTCATCTAGAGAATAGCCTTTATATGGGCAACACAACCAGCTAACATAATAGACACAATAACTAAACCATGAAAAATAGGACTATGAAGCCATGTTCTACTAACATGCTCCACTACTGGGTTATAACCTTAAGAATATGTAAAATAAAAACTAACCCATAACAGCTTGCTATAAACTAGGACAATCAAATACTTGCATAAGTAAATTATTTCCAACATTCCCTCCCTTAAACTGAAACTTTCCAACATTCAGTTTAAAGAATATCAACTGCGAACTTCAAACTGAACCTTCAAAAAATACAGACCTCGAGCAACTCTCTTAGCTTCTTAAACACAGGCATTTTGAGAGGTTTGGTGAATATGTCAGCAATTTGGTCTTCACTTCTGCAAAAGATAAGTTTAATCACTTCATCTTTCATGAGATCCCTTAAGAAGTGATACTTTACATCTATATGCTTGCTTCTTCTGTGCAAAACAGGATTTTTGGAAAGTTTAATTGCTGAACTGTTGTCACAATAAATTGAAGTGGCTCCTTGTTGCTTGAATTGAAGTTCTTCAAGAATCTTCCTTAGCCAAATAGCTTGACATGCACATAAAGTTGCAGCTACGAATTCAGCTTCAGTTGTTGATAAAGTGACAATTGGTTGTTTCTTTGAAGACCATGAGATAGCCCCTGAACCCAGCACAAAAGCATACCCTGAAGTGCTTTTTCTATTATCTTGATCTCCAGCATAGTCACTGTCAGTGAAACCAAACAAATTTGACTTTTCTCCCTTCTTGTAGAACAGCCCAAAATCAGCAGCACCTTACAAGTAACGAAAAATCCTCTTTACAGCTAGAAGATGCATCTCTTTTGGACATTCCATGTACCTACTAATAAGACTTACAGCATGCATTATATCAAGTCTTGTTGCAGTCAAATACATCAAGCTTCCTACAATTTGCTTGTAAAGAGTGCTGTCCACCTTCCTTCCTTCAGGATCTTTAGTTAGCTTCAGACCAAACTCAGTTGGTGTGCTCACAGAATTGCAATTCTTCATCTGAAACCTATTTAAAATTTCTTCCACATATTTCTTTTGAGAAATAAAAATTGCAACAACAGATTGCTTCACTTCAATGCGAAGAAAATATTACATCATTCCAAGATCAGACATATCAAATTCAACCATCATGGACGGCTTAAAATTTTCAAACATGGCTCGTAAATATCAAATCATCCACATTTAAGCAAACAATAAGCATCTTTCCTCCATCTCCAATTTTTGTAAAAAGCGAATGCTCATATGGACATTTATGAAAACCCTCTTTAGAAAAATAAGCATCTATACGACTATACCAAGCTCTTAGAGCTTGTTTTAATCCATATAGTGCCTTTTTAAATTTATAGACCTTATGCTCATCTCCAAACTTCACATAACCAAGAGGTTGATCAATAAATACCTATTCTTCCAAGTCACCATGTAGAAATGCCAATTTCACATCCAACTCGAAGATAGGCTATGAGTTTTGAGCTGCCAATTCAATCACCAATCTAATCGTGTCATGTCATGCAACTGGTGCAAAAACCTCTTTGTAGTCGATGCTGAACTCTTGCTTGTAGCCCTTGGCTATAAAGCGTGCCTTGTACTTGTCAATTTCACCATTCTCCTTCAGTTTTGTCTTATACACCCACTGCACACCAATGGTCTTTTGCTCTTTTGGAAGCTTCATCAACTCCCAAGTATTATTCATTTTAATTGCAATAATTTTTTCATTCATTGCCTTCTTCCATTTTTCTTCTTTAACAGCATCTTCGAAGGCTACAGGATCACAATATGAAAATAGAGCATAGTGTGTAAGTGGATCTTCAGATTGTTCAATCCTAGTTACGTCATAATCGGTCATCCATGCTGGTCTTCTTCTATCACGTTATGGACATTGTTCATCATTAGTTGCAGCTATAGGCGAGCTTTGAGTGCCTTCAGGAACATTTGGTGTGGCTGCTAGTTCCTGTACACTCTCCATAAGGTGCCGCCTTTCTTCATCACCATCAAAATCTGTAGCAAGTATATGTTGGTCAGCACCATTATCGCTCCATGGCCAGTTTCATTCTTCATAAAAAATGGCATCGCAACTAATAACAATTTTCTTAGTGATAGGATTGTAAAGCTTATAATCTTTTGATTGGTCACTAACACCAAGAAAAATGCATTTTTCTCCTTTGTCATCTAGCTTCTTCCTCTTTTTATCTGGAATATGGGCATAAGCAATACACCCAAAAATTCTAAAATTATTTACAGATGGTTTTCGTTAGCTCCAAGCTTCCTCTGGAGTCATTTTTTGAACAGCCAAGGTGGGACTTCTGTTCAAAATATGAATACTCCAATTAACTATTTCAGGCCATAAAATTTTCGGAACATTGCTCCTCATCAAAAGACTTCGCACCATATTCATAATAGTGCGATTTTTCCTCTCAGAAACTCTATTTTGCTGGGGTGTGTACGCTACTATAAGTTGCCTTTTGATTCTATGAAACTCACAAAAATTTGCAAATTCATGCGAGTTGTATTCTCCACCACGATCTGTGCGAAGAACTTTAATTGGACTTCCAACCTCTTTCTCAACCAGCGCTTTATAAATTTTAATGGCTGCAAAAGCTTCAGATTTCTCCTGCAAAAAATATACCAAAATTTTTCGCTTATAATCATCAATAAAGGTAATTATGTATCTCTTGCCTCCATTAAAAGACGGATTTATCGGCCCGCAAAGATCAGAATGAATCAGCTCCAATGGCTTCTTTGCTCTCCATGATTTTCCTTGTGGAAATTGATTACAGTGTTGTTTGCTAACAATACATCTTCACAAACTTTAGAGGGAGCTATAATTTGAGGAAGACCAGTCACCATATTTTTCTGCTATAGAATCTTCAATCCAGCAAAGTTTAGATGACCATAGCGAAAATGCCATAGCCATGCTACATTCTTCAATTTTGCTGAGAAGCATGAATAAATGGTGTTGTGGAGATAAAGCGGAAACATCCAATTTGTCATCATATTAACTTGAGCTATTAAGCCCAATTTTGCATCTTGAATTCGACATACTCCATCTTTGATAGAAATCTCGTATCCCTTTTCTTGCAGCTGTCCCACACTAAGCAAATTGGTTTTTAAATCTAGCACAAAAAGAACATTAGAGATAGTATGGATGGAATTTCCCTTAGTTTGGATAGCTACCTTTCCCTTTCCCATAACAGAGACTTTCAAATTGTCTCCAAACTTCACATCGTCACGGAAGGATTCATCCAAATTAGAGAATTTAGACTTGTCTCCGCACATATGATTGCTGCAGCCAGTATCTAAGTACCATAAATTCTTATTGGTTTCCTCCTTTGCATGACAAACCATCAACAATGATACTTCTTCTTCCTCTTCTGCAAAGTTAGACTTTTCACCATGTTCTCTATTTAAATTTGTTTGACATTCAGATTTATAATGGCCATACCGATGACATCTATAGTATTCAACATTGGACATGTTTGCTGACATTGGTTTAAAATTGGTTGAATGGTGATTACCTCGTCCTTGGTGGCTGTCTCGTCCTTGGTTGTTTCCTCGTCCTCTTCCTCTCCATTGATAACCATGAAATTGGTTAACTTCAGACTTTTGGTGTTGGAATTGTTGTTAGCTTCTTTGATCCTTGTTTCCTCTGGTTCCTTCTCTTCTTCGGCCTGCTGAGTTGGGGACCGAAAAATTGTTGCTAGTTGTGACCTGCAATGCTTGCTCCTCATTTTCTTGCTATTTAAATTTTTGTTCATGAACCAACAACGAACCTTGCAGCTCATCAATTGAAAGATCATCAAGATTCTTTGATTCTTCAATTGAACAAACCACATAGTTAAATTTTGGCGTCAATGATCGAAGAACTTTTTCAATTACAGTCACATCCTCCATCTTGTCTCCATGGATACGCATCTTGTTGACGATTGCCATCATTCGAGAAAAATAGTCTATAACCGACTCTCCCGATTTCATCCGAAGCATTTTGAACTCCGTATGAAGTGCTTGAAGCTGCTGCCTCTTCACCCTTACTGATCCCAGGTACATCTTCTTCATGGAATCCCAAATTTGCTTGGAAATTTCTTTGCAAAGAATTGTTTCCAAGATTGACCAATCAATAGCTTGAAACAAGTAGTTCTTGGCCTCGAGATCCTTCAACCACTGCCCTTCTATCTCTATTTTTTGCGCTTCCGTCATTGCCGTGTCTGTTGCTAGTCCTATTATTCCATCTGAAATGACTTGCCAATACTCCTTAGATCTTAAGAAGTTCTCCATTAGCATGCTCCAATGATCATAGTGACCAGCAAAGCGTGGAATTACAAGCCTCACAAAATTATTTTCAGAGGCCATTGTTGCTGCTACAAAAAAAAAACTTTGATGAAATAGAACAAATGAAGTTGTTGCTATTCTATCTCATGAACACTCTTTTTTCTTTGTTTGGCACTCTCAACTTTACTTTTCTTACACTCTTGACCTAGCTCTGATACCATTGATAATATATGTAGAAAGCAAAGAAGCAAAACTTGAGATCTTTTATTCATCTAGAGAATAGCCTTTGTATAGGCAATACAACCAGCTAACATAAAAGACACAACAACTAATCCATGAAAAATAGGACCATGAAGCCATGTTCTACTAACTGTTAGGAAACGTGCTAGTTTGAAAAACTTTTCGAGGGATTTGCGTTCACAGATTTTAATTCATCACATAGAGACAAGTTTTATGTAAAAATAAAATATGATGTATCATTCAATTAATAGAATGAATACTTACATCAAGGTTTGAGTAAACCTTAGATCTCTCCTCTAAAGTGAATGTTCTCACTTATTATAGATCCCGTTTGCTAGATACCTTCTCCTTGGATCTCCATCTTCTTCGTAATGATATTGCCTTTAGGAATCACTTATAAGCCTCCATGAATGACCTTGAAAAACTAGGCTTGTGGGAGCCTCCATTAGATGAGAATACTAACCTTAATTTTCTAGAGAGAGAAAAAATATATTCCTTTTTCTTTTTCCAAAAGTCTCTCCTAAAATATACATGAACCCATGTATATATAGGCAACATAAAAATCAGAAAAGGAAACCATAAATCATTCTCCATCTCTAATTCACATATCTCAAATCTAATAAGATTCCAATATCAAGTTGGGCTATGAGTGAGAATCCTATTGGGCTTATTATTTTCTTGGCTACAATAAATTAATAATTGGCCCGGTCCATGGACCCAATTAAATTAATTCATTAATTAATTTTTACTCCACTAAAAGAAATTAATTGAACTCCAATTAAATAATAAATAACCTCTAAGTCAATGTTGCACTTTGACCCCTCTATTCATAATTAGTTATTGGATAAATAAAGCCATCAATCCGACTACTTAATTAATATATTTATTTTGGTACCTTTGATTATTTCTGGCTCGATCACAATAAAACATTTGTTTGACAAAAATAATAATTTAAATAAATAAATAAATAATAAATCATTTTGTCTAAAAACACACGAAGGCCTTCGAATTTACTTTGTGATCAATCATAATCAATACAAAATAAATACAAGTAGCAATGATGCAAATATTGAAAATATAACCCTCTAACTATTAATTACATAACTACCCAAAATGTCAGTCTAAGGATCCCGAAGTATTCGCCGAATAAATCAAAGTAATTATTAATTAATAAAAGAGTCTATACTTTTCTCATGCTTAAGAGTCAAATGGCATGGCAGTGATAGGGAACAATTGCATACGATGACTCTCGCAATATATCTCAACCTAACGCGGATCCAGTTCAAGTCTTAATTAATTTATGAGTACATTCATAATTACCGACTATGAATAATTTATGATTCCTATTTATATTTATGTATTGATCGCTATCACATACATATATAAATAGCTCTTGTAATCAAGTGGAGATTATCAATTTTATAATGAATTGAAACATAATACATTGAATTCACCAATTGTATATAGCATAAATATTTCAGAAACGTCAAGAACATATGTCACTATAACCCAAATGGGAATTTGCTATGCTAGTGCATATAAATCCCAACAGCTCGCACTTACCCTCATAGCCAATTCAAATTGCATCTAACTCCAATGTTATCCAGATGTTGATCAAAACTATTGATCGATGACACCTTTGTAAATAGATCAACAAAGTTGTATTCCAATGCAATATCCTAGCCATGAGTACATTTTATTGCCAAACAATATCATGTAAGGTATGATACTTCCTATCAATATACCTTGTTCCTCTATGGAACCTTGGGTCATTGGTTTGGACTACTTCTACACTATTGTCACAATATAGCTCGATAGGCAAGCTAGTATGCTCCACAACCTCTAAATCAGTGAGAGCAAACCAAAAGGCTTCATTTGCCGCCTTTAAAGTTGCAATATACTTCCCCTGCAGGTTTGAGTTAGCAGTTAAAATCTGCTTAACAATCTACTAACGATTTCCCTTCCATTGAGTGAATGTACACTAAGTCATAAACCTCATAGTATCTACTTCTGATTGAAAATCAGAACTAGCATACCTGACTAGGACCATATCATCACATCCATAAATGAGTATGAGATCATTGGTTTTCCTAAGGTACTTAATGATATTTTTCACAACAGACTAGTTATCAAGTCTAGGATTGGACTGATATCTATTGACTATCCCTACTATGTAGCGGATGTCCTGTTTGGTATAGACCATGGCATATATGAGACTCCCATATGCCAAATCATATTGTTCCAGTCTCATTTGCCCAATCTCCTCTGTCAGTCTTGGAAAACTACTTACTAGAGAGAGCAATCCATGTCAATAAAGTAAGAACTCATTCTTTGAGTTTTATTTACCAAACCTGGTCAAAACTTTATCAATGTAGGATTATTAAGATAAGCCTATTATCCTTTTAACCTGATCTTGCAAAAGCTTGATTATAAGAATATAGATTACATCTTGAAGATCCATTATTTCAAAATAATTGAACAACTACCTCTTTACTGATGACTAAACTTCCACGTCATTCTAAATGAGTAAGATGTCATCAATATATAGAATTAGGAAAAATAATGACATTACCCTGTACACAAATGGTTCATTCACTAAGAAATCTTCTGGTATCTTTTTGTAGATTAACTTGCCTTCTATAAGTATCACCCTACTAGAAAGTTCTACAAGATCCCAGATTTTATTAGAATACATAGACTCGAACTCTAATTTCATAGCAACTTGCCAAAACAATCTATATCCATATCGATTCACGCTTCCGTGTAGCTTACTGGGTCCAACTCATGTTTAACAAGGATGTCCATAACGGTCTCACCTAAAAACATGATTCTGTCGGATTAGATGATAATCCTCCCACTACATCAATCTACCGATGCAAGAATTTGTGTACAAGATAATGCTAACGCATCAATAGGGAATTCATATATTATTCTTAATTTCTATAATAAGTGTGTTCACATGTGGTACATTTGATACTCATACCATATTCTCTAAGATTATGCTACTAGGTATGTAATTCATAATATGATCCTTCTATAAATAAATAGTGAGTGTAACAATCAACTTTTATCATTGAGATCATAAAATAATCCATCATAGTGCCTTTAGAGTATCTATCAAATCTATCATGCGTATGATCTGTTTCCAACTTACTTGTCCATATCAAGCGCACATGTGTAAGACTACCCCATATGTGCATGTGATTCAAACTAAGATTTAGTCAAAAACACAGCTCAAATGGTATCCTTGAGACAGACTAAGATGGAATACAGTTTATAATGCGCATCGATATCATTAACGCTAAACTCTTAAATGAAAGAGATAATGTGGCATAACTGATCATAGATCTAACCATGTTAAGCGAAATTTTGTTATTCCTATTTGACACCTAAATCAATTTAGCATCAATTGCAGAAAACTAGTACACAACACCCTCATTGATCATATAGTCTTTGCACTATCCCAAGAAATTCTCATATCCACGATCAGATCGAAGTGTTTTGATAAGTTTACCTAATCTGTGCTCCACATCAGTCTTGACTTTTTTGGAATATACCAAAAGTTTAAGACTTGTGTCGCATTAGGTAAATTTATCCAAAACGTGAGTAAACTTGCTTGGATGTTCATAAGACCACACGTGTCTGTGTGTACCGACTCCAATTATTCTTTATGTCTATTTCATTTGGCTGATTAAAGCCTTTAGGGTTTTTAATCATTCAAAACAGGATTCACAAGTTAGTTTAGGCCCAATCTTTGAATCTTATTTTGACTGATTATAACCCAAAAATAGACACTAAAAATACAATGAGTCAGGAATAACAAATCTTCTCTTAACATTCAATCTAGAAAATACAACTTTAGTTTCTACATCATGCAAATATTAAGAGTTTGTGATTATAGTATATCAACCATCTTTCAATGCACCAGAAGCAATCGCACATCTATTCAATTTTATAAAACCAATTTTACAAAATAATAACACAGTTTTTGTAAACCAAAAGTGAAACAAGAATTAGATTGTGTCTAACATCTGTGCATGAAGATAGTTCTCTAATACTAATATTCTCATACTCTCTAATTTCAAATATAATATTCCCACTGACTTAACTATAACCTTGGCATCAGGTCAAAAGACAAATATATATCCATGTCATCGAGGCTTCTGGATTCCTGAAATCCTTGCAACGAATTGCAAACATGATTAGTGGCTCTAGAATCTATCCATCAGGCATAAATAGATACAACCACATAACAATGCTCAATGATTAAATATACATTTTGTTATGCCACGTCATTGCTTAGACAGTTCGTCCTTTAGTGTCTTAGTTAGTGGCAAAAGAAACAATTTCTTTCGCCCTCAACATACACTGCCTTATCCCCTTTAACCTTCTGGATTCCATGTTTTGTGCTAGCATAGTCCTATTATCATCCTTCTCCTTTCCTTTGCCCTTCCACTTGGGCCTAGAAGAAGATGGTATAGACTAGGTTAGATTGATAAGAACACCCATACTATTGATTATCCCTTCATCTATTACCAATTCTATAAGAATATCAGCGAGTGTGAACTCAAACTGGTTCCTTATTTAGTTCACTCTCAAAAAGTCAAACAAGTTTGGTAATAAGGCAATAATCATGTTAATTTGAAACTTACCACCCAAGTCAACCCTATTGACCTCCAGTTCAATTTTAATAAACAATCATTTTCAAAATACGATCTCATACGGGAGTTCCTTAGGCTATCTTGATGGTGTTCAAGTCTGACATAGTACGTAGGCATACGCTCTATCTAATCTCATTGAAACATCTTATTAGGTATCTTAAAGTAAAGGATTAGGTTTAG